GTGTAGAGCTGTTCAGTTATTTATAGACATACAAGAGTATTTTGAACTGGATACGAAAGTGAACCGGTAGCCAGTGCAGGGAGGCCAAAACTGGTGTAATGTGCTCTCTTTTGCCTGTACTGGTTAAAAATCAAGCTGCTGCATTTTGGGCCAGTTGCAGTTGTGCAATGGAGGTCTGACGAATACCAAACAGGAGCGAGTTGCAGTAATTGAGCCTGGATGTTATGAATGCATGTATAACTGTCTCCAAGTTATTTTTGGACAATATGGGCTTCAGCTTAGACAGCTGCCTCAGCAGGATTTAACAATCATGTTTATATGACTGTTAAGTTTCAAGGAAGGGTCCATTATCACTGCCAGATTAGTGACTCTTTGTTTCTCTAATGGGGCTAGAGCGGAGAGGTCGATGCAGCGGTTGATGATTGTGTCGTTGGGAGGAAACAACATAATTATTCTCATTGAAACTTAAGAAATTTAAATCCATCCAGTCTTTGATGTCAGCCAGGCAGTCAAGCAGAGGTTGAATAAAGTGTGTACCATTGTGTCTTACGGGGAAGTAAATTTGACAGTAATCGGCGTAGAAGTGAAAGGGTATGTTGTGTTTCCGGAAAGTAGCACCTAGTGGCAGCAGGTATAAAGAACATAGAAGGGGACTGAGGATGGACCCCTGCGGTACTCCCCCCATTTAAGTGCAGCCGATGCTAAACTAAAATCTTTGATGGAGACACAAAAGGATCTGTCAGCTAGGTAGGATCTGAACCACTTGAGGGCTGATCCTGTGATGCCCACCCACTGCCCCAGCCTAAAAATGAGGATCTCATGGTCAATGGTGTCAAAAGCAGATGCAAGGTCCAATAGGACAAGCAGTACAGAGTCACCAGCATCTGTGGATATGAAGATGTTGTTAACAGATTGGGATATCTCTAAGATGGCATGATCCTTTAGTAATAATAATAATAATGTCACATTATCATCACGGGGCAGCACGGTGGCGCAACTGGTAGAGCTGCTGCCTCTCAGCGAGCAGGTCCTTGGTTCAAACCCCGGTCCAGGGGGCTTTCTGGGTGGAGTTTGCATGTTCTCTCCGTGCATGCGTGGGTTTTCTCCGGGTGCTCCGGTTTCCTCCCACAGACCAAAAACATGCATGTTAGGCTGATTGGTAACTCTAAATTGTCCCTAGGTGTGAGTGAGAGAGTGAATGGTTGTTTGTCTTGTTCGTCTCTATGTGTCCCTGTGATGGACTTGCGACCCGTCCAGGGTGTACCCCGCCCCTCGCACAGTGATTGCTGGACATGGGCACCAGCGACCCCCGTGACCCAAAATGGAACAAACGGGTAAAGATAATAGATGGATGGATGGATGGACATTATCATCACTTTGTTTCCATACAATGGCAAAATTAGTCTCTGCATTTAACCCTTCCACCATCAGGCAGCTATTAGGAAGCATTTCAACTGGGACTCTTTTTTTTCTAGTAGTTTAGAAAAAAACGGGAGTCTGGACAGACCTGAAGTTGGACACGATTAAGGGGTCAAGGTTAGGCTTTTTCAGCAGGGGTTGAACAGCAGCATATTTAAAGAATTTTGGCACCACCCCTAAGGATAAACTGCTATTCACAATAGCAAGAATAGAAGGGCCCAGAGTAGGAAAAAACTCCTTTAGTAGTCGAGGGGGGACACATCAAAGGGGGAACCAGATGGTTTCATGCTGCATGTTACCTGCTCTAGAGAAGACAGAGAGATGGGCTCAAAATGGTCAAATACAGCAACACACTGGGATGGGATGGACAGATCGTGATCTGGAGGGGAAATGAGAACCCGGGTGTTCGCAACATTTTCTAAAAATAAACATAGATAGTTCTCGCACAGCTCAGTTGAGGCTTCCAAAGATGAAGGCTCAGTGAGGTGGAGAACTGAGTTTAGGGTAGAGAAGATGACATGCAGGTTTTGAGATTTGGCTATAATTATATCAGAGAAGTATTTAGATTTTGCAGCTTTTACTGCTTTCTGATAACAATGCCAACTCTCTTTTAGTATTTGAAAAGAGACCTGCAGACGGTCCTTCTTCCATCTATGCTCTGCCCTCCTACATTGCTGCCTAACAGCACCCGGTACCGACAACATCCAAAATGTGGGTGGGGTAGGTGAAGCACCCACACCTGCCCCCACCCTCATTCGCCCCACCCTGGGCCTGTATGATGACTATAATAAAATAATGATAATATAATTAATATAAAAACACCAATAGCTTTCTAAGTGCCTGTAAAGAGATGTCTGGGCCTCCCTGCTCGAGCTGCTGCCCCCGCGACCCAACTTCAGAATAAGCGGAAGATAATGGACGGATGAAAAGTTCTCTGTCCCCATCTGGTGAAACTCGAGCTGTGGTTCGTTTCCCTCCATCTCCGTGATGAATTGATCCAGTTTGGATCTCCTGGACAAGTTAGCTTGTTTACATCATGTCCTTCATATATTTCAAACTATATGCTGTCTGTTAGCAAAATATCTCATGAAGCCTGTGACCAATTTTAATGAAATGTTCAGAAAGTATTCACTGGTTGTACATCTACAACTTTTTGATGAGATCCTTGCTCTGTTTTTGTTTGTCCATGTCAGCATTATCTCTGCGATTCAAAACTTCATTTCAAAACTGAGTCATATCTGAATGTCTTAGCAGCTTTTGAACCTTTTAGAAAGAAATCAGAGCAATGTTGACTTGAGTTTTTTCACCCTATAGTTGGAGGCTTCAAAATGAACAAAAAATGTTTTTCACTTGAGGAAAGACCTGGAATTCCACCTGCCTATACTGATGAAATCAGCATTTGATATTTAGTTGATTTAATCTGTAGGAAAAAAGTAAAACCCATAAAGGATCACAGTACAAGCAGTCTTTGACACTGTTTGTAAGAGGACTCTTACTTGATAGATTTAATCCACTCCTCCTCCTTCTCAGGCGTGGGTGCTGATATCCTGTAAACAACATGGTTGCCCTCAACAACACGCCCATCCACGTCTGTCTTGCAGGCTTTGATCACCTGGCCTTTGTGATTAGGATTGTACAACTCGAAACAGTTCTGGAGGAGATGGCAACCAGCAGACAATCAACTTCAGCCAAGAAGTAGTTTTCTAAAAACACAGCAATATAAATATTAAAATGAAAGCTTTGGTCTGTAATGAGGCAACACTCACAGGCTTCCTGGGCTCCTCCACCTCCCTGATGCTGAGATTCTCCAGTGGGATGATCCCACGAGGCTCCTTGTCCTGCAGCAGGGAAGGAAAAGAGGCGAGAACAAGAAAGGAGGAAGGAACACAAGTCAATAATGAGAATTTACTTGAAAAGTAAAACATCAAGATGGGAAGAGAAACATTGAAGAAAGAAAGAAAAAAAACCCCATCTCAAATAAAAAATCATCCAACCAAACTGAAAAACGAGTGAGGAAAGAATCCACGTTAACACAGTCTGCAGGCTTTAAAATCTATCTTGTGTATTCTCCTCCTTTGTTTCAAGAGTTGGAACAGTTGCTCTGTGGAAACTGTGGTCCTGCTGTTAAGAGTGTGTCTGATTTTAACCTTAAACAGACCACCTCCACTGCATCATCAACAGGAAAACGCATAAATAGTGATGTGACATCAAAAGAGACCATTGTTTCATGATGACATCCCTCACCTGATCCACATGATGGTCTGTGTGTGATGTTCTGAGCTGCCAACTAAAGGGATGATTACAGATGCCAGATATTTGGAAACACTGTGACAGAATTAATCATGTTAAAAATCGGTTTTAACGGTACACCTTGTTTGTAAATTTTAGTTAAACCATGCAGACTAGACGTGGCCTCCCCTGGGTACAGTCTGTGGTACAGAATATGGTCAAGCCTTGTCCTGCTGCTCCAAATGTTTCAAGGATTCAAGGTTCTTTACACCACATGTGGTACATGTGATGGAATGAAATTGTGTGCACAGGGTCCCAGTTATATCCAACAAAAGTATTAAAATGTAAAAGAAAAACAGGATTAAGATCTATGATATGAGCTAAGAAAAACATTAATAAAAGTACATTAAGCACTAATAGCATAAAAACAATACGACGAACAGCAGCACGAAACAGATCAGCAGCAACAAGATGTGATTTTTTTTTTTCAGGCACTCTTATCAACTTCTTCTTGTAACCACTTTCTGGATCTCTTTTCAGAAGCTTATAAGTGATTAAGTCACTAAGGAGTGTCATAACTTTCTCGTTACAATATTTTTGGTTCAAAATCACTGTGCACCTTTCTTCATCTGCTGGGAGGATGATGATGTTCTCATCCTTGCTGAGAGTGGTGAGTGTATCCCTCTCCTCTCTGCTGATGTTGGAAGGTGGTGGTTTGGTGTTGCTGAGGCAGGCTGAAACTTTGTTCCCAAGTTGTTCTTTTTCAAACTCTATAATTTTGTTGTTGTGGATATAGCTGATTCTGTGGCTGTGATCATCTCAACCAGAGAAATTATTTTTGATGCAACTGACTCTCTTGTGAGTCCTCGTGGCTCAATGAGACTAACCTTTATAAATAAAGGTTGCACGAATGAATACAAAAAACAAAACATGTTACTTGTATTAAAATATCAGATCTATGAACAGGAAAGAATGCATATGAGGAAATAATTTAAAAAGATTTAAAAAATATACACACTTAAAAAGAACGTATAGAGCAAACATGTATAAATTATAATTAGATTTAAAAACGAAGCGCAAAAAATATTACATAATATACATGATAAACCACACTCCACACCAGTTGGTGGCGGTAATGCACCAAACTATTATTTCCCAACCACAATAAAAATAACCTACAAGATGATGTTTCAAAAAATACATACTGTATATGATATATCTCTTCTACTTTCTACGTTTTCCGCAGCCATGCCTCGCGTTTTCTGTCCTTCAGACATGCTGCACTAACTGCAGTTATTCTCTTAAACAGATGGCGTCGCTGCGGAGAAAATAATACCGCTGTACACAGATGAAACACCAGAAGAAGAGTGACCGGAAGTACCTTTTTATGCTAACGAAGATAAGAAATGTGAGGTATTGTGCTACTACGAGTTAATTTTCTGTAACTTTTACAGTAATTTCATTTTCTTGATTTCGGTTCGTCTGTACCCGTTCCGAAACTATTATTTAAAGGAAAGTTTAGCTAACAGAGATGAGGAGACAGCAGGCTGAACAACGAGAGGAAGTGGCTACGGAAAAAATGTCCGAGTTTCTGGAAACAACAGATGCAGATTATAAAGAGGAACGATGTCGTTTAAAGGACAAACAGCAACACAACAAAACTCAAAATGCTGTTTTCAACCCAAAAGCTCAGCTTCACAGATTAGGTTTGTATCTAAACATTCCTGCTTTTCAGTGTGATGATTTTAGTTGCAGTTTCACCAGTGACAGGGGAGGGAGGGGAGACAATGCCTCACCGGTCATCATGCCAGGTAAAATACTAACAATGATAAGAGAAAAATACATTTAACCACTGGACTGTTCTATAAAACTGGTTTATAAAACTGTTTTCTGAATTATTTCAACACTTCAGTGGTCAAAATCGTAGAATTTACGCATTACCTGTTCAAACGCATGGAAGAAATGCCGGGTGAGGCATTGTAAGTGCTCTGGTTCACCTCTTGTGGCGCTGTGTCATACAATATATAAAGTTGGTGCATGCCTGTCTTTATATTGCCAATATACATGTTTGATTACACATGTTGATGTTCTACAGTCTGTCTCATATATTGAATGAATGTGTGTGACATATTTCTTCTTTCTAGATACTCGAAATAGAATACTAGAATTGTGCCGCTCGAGGTGGCTTCGTGTTGGAGTAGCTCTGTTACTTTCATTCTGAGATACTGCTTTTGGAAACTTTAATTCCTGTTTTTCTGGTTGTACATCCCTTTTTTTGTATGATTGTTTCCTCTGGTATCAGATACTGTGCAGCTGGAAGGATTTTTACTGAAACTCTTTTGGTTTTGGACATTTGTTATGATGAATAACCATGACAACAAAGAGTTTTTTACAACCAGAAGCAGCTGATTAACATCTCAAAAGCTCAAACATCTCAACTACAGCCCCAAATCTCAAATGAGTTGAAAAGGAGGCTCCGTAAATGCATTCCCGTATACCCGATAGCTGTGCTCGAGTGCCTGACCACTGAGATCCTAAGATCTCCTAAAATATCCTGGAACTGGCAAAAAAAGTGGCTCTTGACAGCAGAAGGACTGGGATCGTCCCCCGGCACCTGCAGCTAGCTGTCCGCAGCAACAAGGAGCTCAGCAGGCTGCTGGAAGGAGTGGCCATTGTTCTGGGAGGAGTTCTGCCCGGCATTTGGACGATCCTGCAGCCCGGGGGAACCGAGAGGGCAGCCAAGTCTGGGTGGATGGATCGGACAGTGTGGCCAGTTTCTTCGGATCCACTGTGGGACGGACCTTTACAAGAGATCCTTCCTGCCTACAGCCATCAGTATCCATAACATCTCAATAAAACTAGGATAATGAGTTACAACATTTAATTTCCCTTCGGGATTAATAAAGTACTATTGAGTTAAATTAATCGGTCAAAATGCATGGCACGCTGAAAAACACGAGAGGTGTAACAGAATATACCTTGCCTCACCAATAGGGGGCAGTGCTGCCCCATAGTTACAATGAAGCGGGTGCAGTCACTGTGCACTTTTCTGTTACACAGAGGGGCAGGAGTGTGTAGCAAATCAGTACACTTGTTTAAATTTGTTTAGACCAAATAGAAGATCATATCTCAAAACTAAATTATTTTTCTAAACTCATAATTGTTCATACTCATTCGTATTAAAATAAAGGTAAGACAATACAAGTTTTTTTATTTAAAAAGAGAGGAGTATGGAGTTGATTAAAGCATAATTAGATGCCTTTAAAAAGAATAAAGGCTAAATAAGCTTCTATTTGGGGTTCATATATGTGAGCATCTGATTCCAGACGATTCAGCCTTACCTGTCACAAACCTCACGTCACTGAGTTTCACGGATTACAGGTCTCAATGAGTCCTCAAGGCTCAATTAGACTAACCTGTGTAAATAAAGATTGAATTGAATTTTACCAGTATCATGTATACCCTAACATTTACTAAGGTCATTTACACAGTATACAGTATTTGTATTACTCATAAAATGAGTAATTAATGCCCAATCTGACAATTTTGCCCTCAATTACTCGATTAATTGCCAGAATAATCTATAGATTACTCGATCACTAAAATTATTTACAACAGCCCTATACTTTAGGCAGTTGGTCTCACAATGGCCATGGACGGATATAAATTAAAACTTAGTTCATGTGAGCACTACATGCCCTCGTCAATATTTAATTTACTTTAGTGCATTATAGATCAAACAGCTTGACGAATCTCAGGAAAAAACGTGATATTGGATCATTTTCCTTGATAAATAAATGGCTGAGTATAATATTTTTGTCTCATTTGTTTAACTGGGTTCTCTTTATCTATTTTTAGAACTTGTGTGAAAATCTTATGTTTTGTCATTTTTATGCAGAAATTTAGAAAGTTTTAAAGGCTTCACAAACTTTCAATCATCGCTGTATGTGTGAATATAAAACTATAATTGTGCCTGATGTTCATGTTTTCAGTGGTCCCTGCAGATGTTCAGCAGATGGTGCTGATTAAAGAAGAAGCTCCAGATGTGCAGATGCTTGGTGTGGAACAACAGGATCCAGAGACCCTCAACATAAAGGAGGAAGAGGAGGAACTGTGGACCAGTCAAGAGGGAGAGCAGTTTTGTGTGAAAAAGGAGACTGATGACACCGGGTTTGCATTCACTGCTGTTCCTTTGAAGAGTGAAGAAGATGAAGAGAAACCTCTGTTTTTACAGCTTCATCAGCACCATGTAAAAGAGGAAGATCTTCCAACCAGTAGCTCAGCTGACCAGATGAAAGCAGCAACTGGTGGAGAGGACTGTGGAGGAGCAGAGACTACCAGGAACCCAGATCTAAAGACTTATGGAGATGATTGCAGCTCTTCAGAGACTGAAGTCAGTGAGGATGATGAAGGTGATGATGTGAATGACTCTGACTCTCATCTAAAAGACTTATCAGACTCTGGATCAGAACCTGAAGATGGTGACAAAGACTGGAAGGAGAGCAGAGCTCCTGAGTCAGGCGTAAACACTGTCAACAAATCTTGCAGCTTCACTGAGCATGAGAAACAATTTCACAAGAGAAGTCCATCAGCGATGTCTTCAAGTTGTTTGTTTATCAAGGAATGTTTTGAAGTGAAGAAAACTGGAGGCTTAATCAAGAAAAAACTGTCAAGACAGAACTCATTTAGTTGTGAAGACTGTGGAAAAAGGTTTAAACAAAAGGACCATCTAAAGACACACATGATAGTTCATACAGGACAGAAAGCATTTACTTGTGATCTTTGTGGACAAAGTTTTGGACGGAAGTCAACTTTAAACACACACATGATGGTTCACACAGGACAGAAATGGTTTAGTTGTGAAGACTGTGGAAAAAAGTTTAACAGAAAGAGTAATCTAAAGACACACATGATAATTCACACGGGACACAAAGCATTTGCTTGTGATTTTTGTGAACAAAGGTTTGGACATAAGTCAAATTTAAACAGACACATGATAGTCCACACAGGACAAAAACCCTTTGCTTGTGATTTTTGTGGACAAAGGTTTGGATGGAAGTCTACTTTAAACTCACACATGATAGTCCACACAGGACAGAAATGGTTTAGTTGTGAAGACTGTGGAAAAAGGTTTAACAGAAAGAGTAATTTAAAGGCACACAAGGTAATTCACACAGGACAAAAAACATTTGCTTGTGATGTTTGTGGACAAATGTTTGGACATAAGTCAAATTTAAACAGACACATTATGGTCCACACCAGAGAAAAGCAGTTTAGCTGTGAATAATAACCCTTGTTTTGTCTTTTTTAGTCCCATATCGTAAAACGATGGATTCCTTTCAGTAATGTTTTTCTTTGTAACCAAACTTTCAATTTTTATATTTTTCCACTAGTTGGTGCTTTGCTTTTTTTATATGAGAGCCTCTGTAAAGTCTAGTTCAACTTACCCCAGAAGAGGTACGTCTGTCACGGCTAGTCGCTTAGGAGTCCTGCCTCCACGGTAGACGAGCTGCAAACAGCTGAACACACAGCAAACGGTTAAAATGCACTGCTAACACATGAATGATTCTAACTTATAAAAATAAACAAAAAAACAAATGCAACAAAACAGATCTGAAATCACAGGAAATAGATAAACACACATTCAAAAAACGAATCCAAATGAAAAATGCTGCAAATATCAAAATCACTAAAAACACCCAAACAACTGCAAATAAGATGCGCTACAAACTCCAAAAAAACGGAAGTGCATCAGACCATTGGGGGGGCGGGGGGTGGGGGGTGGAAATGTCCACCAAGTCACATGGGACCAGACCCCCCCTGTCAATACATTTTAGATGAGCGGCCACTTTCTAAAGTCATAATACTTTAATGCAAGGATACATAAAATGTCTCAAGTAAAGATAGGTTTTGGTGATGTAAGGAAACAAAAAGAAGCTGCTGTTAAAGGTAAAGTAAGGCAGAAAATTAAACATTGGCAAGACAATGGCTTTAAATCGTGTAATTTGCTATTTCATAGGAAAAGCAGAGACATATCAAGATAGGGGTGGGCGATGTGGCTCATATATATGAAGGAAATTATATATTGTGATATTTCAGAGCATTCTGGCGATAACGATAAATTTCGTGATTATAACAACAAAACAAAAAAAAAAAAAAAGAAATAGTTCTAAAAAGTCTGGTCCTCTGGACATTCAAAAAACAAAACAAAATTTTTTACTGAAATTACTTTATTTGATAAAGTATTCAGTCTCCAAGTATAAAAATAGAAATGGTCATTCTGTTATTTAGATTGAAAAAGTCTGCACAAAATATAGATCAACAAAATCCACCACAAAAACTAAAGTGCAGGTGCAGTTTCCCAAACTAACTAAATAAAATGAAGCTGATCTGTTTAGCATAAATGTAACATACAACAAATATATGTTGCCTTTAAATGAGCTATAACTTCCACAAGTTGTAACAAGGTGATCAGCTGACCCTGAAGCTTGTGGTGTTTCAGCTTCTTCTGTTCCTGCAGGAATTATTCTTTTCTCTGATGCTTATTTGATCACCTGCTTCTTTTCTTGTTTAATGGATGGACCGACTGTGGAACTCAAGAGACACTGTTGAGCTGCACGTGTTTGTACCGGCACTTTAGAGTGGGGGGAGATGTAGCCGAACTGTGCCCGCACCCCCAGCTTAGAGCGGGGTGCGTGGGAGGAAGAGACAGCTCGAGCTGTCTGTACACGCAATTTAGAGCTGGATGGAGAAACGCAGCTGAGCCGTGCATTGTTTGTTTTTAACATTTTAGCTAGCTAGTATTGCGCGCAACTAATTAGCGTTACGCCAGTACCTGGATGGTAGTTCGGTTTGATCGTTCGGCACGCTCAGTTCTATTAACGAGGCGGGGCGCCCAGACGTATTACGTCATGACGCTAGCATATCATGATATCATTTTTTTTCCCGGGCAAGCTTTTTTTTACCGGTATTATTGTGAACGATACGATCTGGCCCAGCCCTATTCAAGATAAACATGACAAAGAAAGCATTAGATACTTTTGCCACAATATGAAATGTGAAATAGGTGCTAAGGTTATCAAAACCAGCAGTAAGTCCAGCTAAGATGATCTGGCATATTTCTAAGATTTGCCAATGTAAAGTAGAAATACTCCTGATTATGTGTCTATATCACTAATATTAGTGTTTGTATCAGTCTAAAAGTTCTCTATCAATTTACAAAGTAGGCAAATTTTTAAAACAATATTTCTAAATGTTTTCAATCAAGTTCATTAATATTCATGAAGTAAATATTTACTACTTAATGCCACAATATTAAGAATACATTCGGACTGAAAATGTTTTTTTAAATACTTGTGGTACTTTACATAGCCAAAAAAGTGATATTTAAGGTTTTGCCATGAATTATTTGGGGTACAATCCTTCTCAAGACTATTTCAACCCCAGAACTCTGATTTTTGTACAACCAGGCTTAAAATAACCAGAAAGCATTTCTCTTTAAAATAAAATGGGTTGAAAAGGGTTTGTGAGCTCATTCATACAGGTTGTTAACAACAAAAAAGTTTAAATCACGTCATCTGGATCAGTTTCTTTAAGTGAGGAACATTTTGTACTCCATCCAAAGGACTTTATCAATCTGCAGCCTGCTAACCAGATGTGTCTCACAGGTAGCCTTCATTGCTGTTTCAAGCCAACCTCTAGTTGGAATCTCAGAAATAGACTTTTAACACATGCAAAACACACCCGTCCAAAACAATCAAACATCATGTACAACAATTAAGTGATTTGGCCATTTTTGTTGTTGTTTGCCTGGATGGTTGAGCTTACAGACCCTTTACTGAGCCACTTTGGCCTTGGTTGTCCTCAGGCTGTTTCTGTGAGTAGCAAGTTGGTCATCTGGCCTAAAACACTTGGTTGTTGTACTTGATGATGGATTGTTTTGGATGGGCGTGTTTTACATGTGTTAAGTCTACTTCTGAGATTCCAACTGGAGGTTGGCTTGAAACACAGCAATGAAGGTTACCTGTGGGGCAGATCTGGTTGGTAGGCTGCAGATTGACGAAGTTCTCTGGATTGGGAACAAAATGTTTGTCGCTTAAAGAAACTGGTCCACATGACATGATTTAAAATAGGTTGAAGCTTTAAGGATTGGTTCACATTAAACTCCTAAAATAAGCCACTTTTTGGCTAGTGGTCACTGAACTGTAATGTACAGGTTCTGGTCCCATATGACTTGGTGCACTGGTGACGATTCTCAGTCATCCAGGACATGGTAAATTCAAAAAAGTTCAAAACAAAAACAGCTGGACTTTATTTGTAACAGAAGACATTTTGCTGCTCATCCGAGAAGCTTTTTCATTTCAAAGAACGAGGAGTGTGGGGTTCGAGTTATAAAGCTGAGGTAAGATACAAACATACATATGCAGATTGACCTATCACACCTCACCGTACACCTCATATGACTTGGTGGTTGAGGCACCCTAGTGGTCTGATGAACTTGCATTTTTTTGGAGTAAGTTTGCAGCGTTTCCTACTTTCAGTTGTTTTGGTGTTTTTAGTGTTTTTGGTATTTGCAGCATTTTTCCTTTACATTCTTTTTTTTTTTTTGGGGGGGGGGGGGGGGGGGGGGTGTATATTTCTTCTATTTTCTGTGATTGCAGGTTTTTCAATTTGCAGCATTTTTCTGTTGCATTTGTTTTTTTGTTTTGGAATTTGCATCATTCATGTGTTTGCAATGCGTTTCAACCATTTGCTGTTTGTTTAGCTGTTTGCAGCTGGTTTGCACCTGTTGCCCACCGTACTTCTCTCACCTCATCTGACAAAATCGTTTCAGTTAGGGTGTAAAGAGCAAAATCTCAGCTGTAGTGTGCCCAAGTAAGTATTTAGTACTAAAGTTGTTTTGTGTGTGTGTGTTTATCTGTGTGTGCAAATACATTGTAATGTAAAAGTTTAACTTGAAATCACAGATTTGTGTTATTATTTATGAGACATTTATTAATTACATTATCAGCAGAAAACCATTACAATTACAAAACCAGCAGAATTCTGTTATCATCTAGTGTTGAGCATGGACTTTGTTCGTCTACTGTTAATATATATCAAACTCTGCACATATTTAAGAATTGCTGCAATGTAGGGTTCAAATGCAAAAACACCTCATTGATCTGGTCAGTTCCTGAAATTAATACCAGTCCTAAATGTTTAGTGCATATAGATATAGAAAACCTAATAATTTAGAATACCTCTCATGTTATTCCAAAAAAGTTCAATCTGGTCCTCTGGACATTCGAAACGTTTCTAGATTGTTTTGCTTTGTTTTGTTTTTGTTTTTTTTTGAATGTCCAGAGGACCAGATTGAACTTTTTTGGATTTTTCTACCTGGATTATTGAGCATGCATCAGGATACTCTCATGTTATTATTGATGGTCTTTCACAGAACAATAAAACAAGAGAATGTTTCTGTTGTATGTTCAAATGTCTTTTTAAAAGTCCCCAACTAGTCCATCCAGCTGGTGCACAGGTTTGTGTTAATATCTTGAGCTACGGTTCTGTTGGTCAGTAGCTGGAGCTTGGCTCTCCTGCTTTTAACCAGAATGTTGATTTGAAATTAAAGATTCAGAACGATTTTTTTAATCAGTTTTTGTGCAAAATTGTGCTTTAAAACATATTAAAACAGAAAACAGATATGTTATACTGTATAATCAGAATGTACATCCTGTTGCACATTAATCTTAATATTTTATATTGCTTACAATTTCTTATTCCGCTCGTTTCCTGGAATATCTTGCAAAAAGATCTGAAGCTCTCAACCTTGACCTCTAAGTGGTTTTAAACATCTGGTAAGTTCCTGGGAAAAACCAATGCAGACACATTCCTGTTTTTAGTGTTCTACACCGCCTTACAACCTAGCAGTTTTTTTTTTTGTTGCTACTTATCCTTTTAATTACCATTTTATTTTCACTTGTTTAAAAATTAAAAAAAATTGTACGCATCCTTTATGATTGTCTGTTGTTGTCTTTGTTATCCACTGTTGTCATCGCTCGTTGTTAAAATCAGATCTTGTAAATGAGTCCTCGAGGCTCAATGGGATTAACTTACATAAATAAAGGTTGATTGAATGAATTTTTTTATGAAGCATTTTACTCTGTATTTAACCAGATAACCTCTAGAGGTCGCCACTTCTTCACACATGGAGAACAACACATGTTAAGTGGTGGATAATGATTCTGCACTCCAGTATTTCTGTGGCACACAGATGCGAGTGCGTGAGGACTGGCAGGTTGCTTC